ACGATGTTGTACACTTGTTGTTTCGTACACATTGCGACTCGGGTCACGTGAAATGCATCCGTGATTCTCAACATGTTTATTTTTATTATTACTTTGAAGTTGTAAGATCAAGTCACGCGAACATGCACTTGAGTTTGGAGTTATGTATCATGGCTATGCCACGGGAACTGTACCCATAGCCACGATAATTCATATTAATAACCGCGCCTAAAGTAAGCTATTGTTCATAAGTTGATTATTTTTCTAAGTTGGAGATTATTGTGAAAATGTCCAAAGTTATGGAGTGATTATTGGAGAGGCGTATATTTTGACTTATGAGAATTGGCGGCATTGATAAATCTAAGTTATTGGAAAGAGATTTTTACATTCCTATGCCACATAGGAAACCTTATTACCCTTAATGTTTAAGGTTTGACTTAAGTACACTTAGTATACCAAATTACCAATTCTATACCATAATTAATTAAGGGTATAATTAATTGTACATTTTTTACTCCTTAATTAAAGGAATCTGCACGTTTCTCTCTCCTAACCCCTCAGTCCCACCCACGTTTTACCCATACCCACGTTCTTTTTACCATTTTCCATCTTCTGAAACCAAATTCTCCCTCTAAATTCACAGAAAATTGAAGAAACCCTTCAACAAAGTTGGTTCCCCCATTTTACTCCAGTTGAAGTTCATCAATGAAGAACAACAAAGTTCATCAAAATTGAAGTCAAATCTTCAAAGTTCATACACACATTTACCTTCAGCTTCAAATTTTCGCAACGAAGAAGAACAAACCTTCAAAGAGACAAGAGAGCAGCACTTCCACTATTGACAGCCATTAAAAAGCTTTGAAGCTTTGAATTCAAATTTGGGTTTTCAAAAATCATTATTTGTTTTGATTGGGTGTTGTTGAAAATAATTGGGAATATGTTTTGGAGTTTATATCTCAATTTTGAGGGGTTTTGGTGAAGATTAGACTTGGTTTTGACTGAAATTCAGATTGAAACTCGAAGAAGACATATTGCAGAAATTGTAGATAAATTGTAGATTGTTTTTTTGCAGAAGATTTTGCAGAAGTTTTAGTCGTTTTGGATTTGTGAAAACAGAAAACAATGCTTCTACAATCAGAATACAAATAATCTACAATTTATCTACAAAATATTTACAAACTGGATACATTAAATTTTAATATCCCAATTCCCATTTCAATTGTAGCATAATTGGCATTTTCGATATAATTACGTTTTTTGCAGAAGATTTGTAGAAGTTTTAGTCGTTTTTTATTTGTGAAAACAGAAAACAAAGCACCTACAATTAGAATACAAATAATCTATAATTTATCTACAAGATATCTACAAACTGGGTACATTGAATTTTTATATCCCAATTCCCATCTAATTGTAGCATAATTGTGATTTTTGACATAATTACGTTTTTTCAGAAGATTTGTAGAAGTTTTAGCCATTTTTTATTTGTGAAAACAGAAAATAAAGCTTCTACAATCAGAATACAAATAATCTATAATTTATCTACAATTTATTTACACTTTCTGCAATATGTCTTCTTCTTATTCTTCTTCAAGTTTCAATCTGAATTTCAATCAAAACCAAGTCTAATCTTCACCAAAACCCCTCAAAATTGAGATATAAACTCCAAATCATATTCCCGATTATTTTCAACAACACCCTATCCAAACAAATAATAACTTTTGAAAATCCAAATTTGAATTCAAAGCTTTCAAGCTTTTTAATGGCTATCAATGGTAGAAAATATCTGGAAGAATATTTACTTCCATAATTGTAGCGCGCCTAAATAGGAATATCTGGAAGAATATGATTTGATCTTATTTACGACAAAATCTTTTTAGAATATTCTGTTCCTCAATTTTAGCTCAACAAATTAGGAAGATTCGGCTACTATTAATTAGTATTTAATGATTGGTATAATAAGTGTAGAAAAAATGTGGACAGGGCGGGTAAATTAGAAACTATGAATATTTTTGATAATAAGGTTTCATATATAGTATAGGAAAGAAAAAATCTCTATTGGAAATGTCATGACAAACGTTAATCAATTAGCTATAAAGAGAAAAGGCCTGGCTAAACGCACTTACTGGACTGTCCTAGCGATGATTTTTATCAATTGGGCCTGGCGTGCGGATTTATCAATGAGAAATTTTCATAAAGCACTATCTTTTAGTAGTAATTAGTCATCTATAGATACCATTTGCTATATTACGGATTATAGATACATTTTATATGGTTATAAGATGTATTTGATGTATTTAAGCTATTGCATTCATGAATACAGTAGCAAAAATAGGCGTGAATCAGGGAAGTCCAGCTAATCAGTTGTTGTATTCGAGTGTATTCGATTGTATTCATGGAGTGAAACATGGGATTACAGCTGGACAGATTATTGTATTCGACTGTATTCACGGCGTGAAATGGGGGATTACACTGTTTTTAAAATGGAAAGTGAATCAATTAACATAATAGACTCCTAATATAATGAACAAACTCAAAATACACAAATTTTGTATTTTCAGTAATAAAAAGGGTTCTCAATCAAAAAATACCCCAAAAACATAACAATCTTCAGAGAAATTATATAATACATCTGAATACATAAATTATATTAATTAAAAAAAAACTTATGAATACATTCATGGCATATAGCGAGGCAGTGAATACAATAAAATACATAGAATACAGCGGGATACATTGAAATACAATGAGAAAAAAAGACAGTGAATACAATGAAATACATGGAATACAACGAGATACATTGAATTACAATGAAAAAAAAGACAATGAATACAATGAAATACATGAAAATACATTGAAATATATTAACAGAAAATCAAGTTGCTCAGCCCCAAACTCCATCGTCTTTGTTCAAGAACAAACCCTAATTCCTGGCGAATCCGCCATTCACCGGAAGCCGATAGTGAGAAACCAACCGGATTAAAAGAGCTAATGATTTTGAAAGAATCAAAATAGGGCCATCAAGATTTTGAAAGAATCAATATGTCCACAGGTGCATTCTTAAACAACTCCTTAGGCATCAAAACCTTATTGATAGTAAGAATAGCGAACAGTTGTTCATCAATTAGAGTTCCGGCTGAAATCCATCGCTTGAGATACATATGTCGACGGCTGGCTGATGTTGGTTACACATCTGCATAAATCTAATATACTGATTGACTGATTGTTTGCTGTGGTGACCAGGAAAGCATCAGCCATAGATTATACAGTACATAGGACATGGACCGCATTGAAACAGGAAGTAGGTTTCTCCTTTGACGTTATTTTTATTTCTTGCCATTGGGGTAAAACCTCGGTGGCTGCTGCTGTTGGTTACAAACAAATCGGATTAAATGTTCCATAGATTTTAAACCGGCTGAAGCAGAGAGTGAACCTGCTCTGAAGTGGGTTTTGCACAAATCCAGTGGAAGGAGGAGGAGATCGGAAAATTTTAATGGGATGGGGGAAGAGAATGGAATGTATCAAAGTAGAGAGAGAAAGAAAAAAGTGTAACTGATTAGCGTATTTAGTGCTTAGAGCTATGAGGTAACCAAAATTAAATATTTTGCAATAAACATTAAAAGATATCTATAGAATATAATTTTTTTAAATGGTATTTATTTAAAATAAATAAGGTGTTTACCTTTGCTATAGGAGTTAAAAATTTCTTTATGAATTTCGTCTAGGAATAAGACATAGAAGTCCAACATTGAATGAACTGATTAGGGAACATTATTTTCACCTAACTATTTCACTCAAACTAATTCAGTTAAAATGACTTATTATAACTCAAAGATGTTGGGGCATTGATTAATGAATAACATGTGATCATGAAAATTACTGACTGTTAATTCAAAATAAATGAGTCTGCCCATTAATGTTGCAAGTAGGTGACGAACTAATAGGCCTGCTAATGTGATCATATTTGGCCCATTTAAGCTCATACAAAGCAAGCTTAATTTCACGGACCGCTTTGGGAAAAAAATACTCGCTTTGCATCTATACTCGCTTTTTGGGTCACATTTTAACTTGTGACCGCTTTGGGAAAAAAATTACAAGCGTACCCGCTTTTTCGCGTAAGTTCAGCATACGGGGCTGATGTAGCAAAGGCAATCACGCAAAACTTCAACATTCTAGTAGACGGGCCTGAAGTAGCATGTGTGCTAAAGTTTTTGTTTGTAATTTCTGAACGTAAGCATAGTAGTTGAAGTTTTGTTCTCTATTTGCTGAAGTTTTTGTTTGTAATTGTAGTAAATAAGCTGAAGTGTTTTGTCCTGGATTCATTAATTTTGTCATTAAGCCAGAAGATGCTGAAGTTATTTAGTTCATTTATAAAAACTTCAGCACTAAATAAGCTGAAGTTTTTTTGTCCTGGATAAGCTTTTTCAAAAATTTCAACAGAAATACTGAAGTTATTTAGTTCATTTGTAAACTTCAGCTTATTTAGTGCTGAAGTTTTTCAGCTTATTTAGTACTGAAGTTTTTATAGAAACTGAAAATTTAAGTGAAAGTTCTAAGACAACGCCGTTCTATGTCGCATTACGAAGACTGTTAATTTGTGTGCAAGTTCTCAGAATGTCCCTTTGGCCATTAGTGGCGAGAATTCTGTTGCCAATGTCATATCCGAGGAGCCGCTAATGCTAGGTTATTTGAATCTGGAATGGGAACGAGTGCATAAGCGTAGATAGTTTACTCACAGAAGAATCAAGTACTGCTCCATTGATCCAATTGCCTCTAATCTCTACTGAAGAAGCACAATGTTCAACAGTTGTGGCCAATACAGAAAGCAAAAAGAAGAAGAAAGAGAGAGCGAGAAGCTTCATAAAACCCTCATGAGTCATCAGAATTCAACATATATCTGTATTACTGTATATTCATAGCAGCACCAACAGCAGCAGAAAGAAGAAGAAAACGGAGGAGGAAAAAGGGGGCTGAAGTTGTTTAAAAAGTGGGTACAAGTTAAAACTTTTAAAAAAAAATGGGTATAGGTTAAATGGGGGCGACCAAATAGGAAGCCCCGTGCAATTTTTACCCTAGGCATCTAGGGTAGATCCATCAACTTTAAAAATGAATACAAGCAAAAATGAATACAGTTCATGATCAGTCAATTTTGTCAATTTTATGAAGTACATGGCTAACGAGAACAATAAATGTACACTCAGGTTGAAATATAACATGAATTACAAATTTCATTAGTCTAAGGCTAATTCTATTCTCTCCATCACATTAACCTTCGCGAGAGTAACCACTTCCGATTCGCATGCCTTCCTCCCTTCAAACACGATCCTGATTTACAAGAGACTAGCCACTGGGCTATCCTTGCAAGTCAGGTTCATTGCACGCAGCAGCCAAACATGTAGACAACAAATTAAAACCAATTTTATCACTGTTGAGGTTACTTTAAGTATGAATCACTATTTTTCAGAGAACAAAACAACACTCAGTAGATGTCATACTGTTCATTAACATTCAACAACTCAAATACCTTATTTTAACATACCAATAATTTCAGAGATTAACAAGGAAAGAAGCTTCAAACAGATAACCTTTAAACTTGTTGAATCTACGAAATTTTACAAAAGTATAGCATAAACAATCCAAATTTCCTATGATTCAAGTAGAAGATAACAAAGGCGGATAAACGCACCTAATAGCAGAAAAACGTCAATTAAAGGACCAAATAAAGGTCTGAACTTCAGTGATGGAGCTCAGCTACTAAAGGAAGTACATCAGTAGCAAATCTGATTTCTACACCTCTTGAAAATCCAGGAGGAAGTATTTGAGTTTTTGAAATATCCAGCAGTAATTAGACTTCAAATCTTCCTTGAAATCCCTCTTTTTCTTTGTTTTTCCAGAGCTTTTTTTTTCTTGATCTAATTTGAAATTTTGAATTTGCGAAATTTTTAGCTGCTAGTCAGTGTGAGTGAATGTGTGTAGGAATAATTGCAGATTGTGAATGAATGTCCATCTGGAAAGTGTGAGGGGAAGGTCTTTTTTATAGAACAGATTTTGTTGAGGCCCCTTCCAGTTTTTCTTCTTCTTTTAACCCCCCCCCCCCCCCCGCCCCCCCCCCGCCCCCCCCTCCCCGGGCCTCTTTTCTATTTTTACTCCTCCAGTCCCCAATACCCGACCTACTCTCATGTGGTCTTGCTGATGAGTCTTTAAGGCTCCTTCTAGAAGCTTCCCTTCAGTTAAGGGAATATATTCCCTAAATGAAATCCCTCAAATACCCTTATATCTCCTCCTTTTACTTACTATTCCCTTTACCCTCTCCTTCTTTTCTTTCTCTTACTCACTATAATTTACAGCTCAATTGGTCTTAAGTCGAATGGTCTCAGCTATAAGGCCTTAAACCAACTAAAGGTCCGGTGTGACATGGACAAATGTCTAACAATCAAAGCAAACAAAACAGTAAAAGAAAGACAGAGCAACAAAAACTTAGCTCCTCAAATGACTATTATATGAGCAAATAGAAACCAATTAATTCGCAATAATTATTTCAGCATATAATGGTCAAACATAACATGCATGTTACTTAATTACTAGAACAATTGGTTCTCACATGATATCCTAGACTTTTTAATCATGAAATTAAGAAGCTAAGATGATTAAACCTATTATAAGACCAGCACAGAAACAATGAGCATCAATACATGCCTCTTAATCGAATAAGAACCAAATCAAACCAAAAATAAGAAGAGGGAGCTGCATACCCTTCAGGGTTCATTGGATCGTTAAAAAGGGATTCCAGCTAAACGGAGGAAAAGAGCGGAGCAACTTGTAGAGGGAACTGACTCGTCAATGGGGTTTGACCGGATTCCGATGGCCATAAAATGAATCAAAATAAAGGTCAATCGATTGCTCTCATCAAGAGCAATCAATTAACGTAGGATTCAAGTTCAAACGGGCCAAAATTGATGAGAAATCAAAAAGGGATAAATTAAAATTTTCTGGAATTCTTAAATTTACTACACGACGAGTTTGAGCGGTTTTTAGGAAATATGGATCGAATATTGGGAATGAGGAAGGTGAGGGGACTATAAGGTGAGAATTTAGGGTGTTTTGGAGTTCATCCGCCACCGTAGGCAATTTCCGGCACCGGAAATAGGTGTTTGAGGCGGAGATTAGAGAATGAAAAACCAGTTCACAGCTGTTAAATTAAGATTAAATGACGGTTGAGATTAAGTAAGGCCAAAAGGTGTCATTTTAGTATTGAAAAAAGGTAGGGATCAGGAAAAAACGCAGGTTGTGTCGGGAGAAATTCAAAAATAGCCAGATTTATCACTGGTCGTTGAAAAATAGCCAAGTTTTAAAAGTCATCGAAATTTAGCCACTTTAAATCTGAGCAAAAATACTGATCAAAATCCGAAAAAATACGCCCGCAAATTTTACGGGAGTTCCAGCATAAGTATGCTTGAACTCCCGTAAATTTTACGGGAGTTTCAGGATAACTATGCTGGAACTCCCGCAAATTTTACGGGAGTTCAAGCATAATTATGCTGGAACTCCCGCAAATTTTACGGGAGTTCCAGCAAGTATAATTGTCCAGTATAATATACTGGAGTTTGGAGCACTGGTGCTCCAGTCTCCCGCAAATTTTATAGGAGTTAGCAAAGCATACCGGTCCAGCATAATATGCTGGAGTTCGTACACAAATGCACCAGAACTCCCGTATATTATACTGGACCGGTCTCTGTTGCAGCAAAATAGTGGCTATTTTTCATTGATTTGATAAGCGCTGGCTATTTTTCATTGACCAGTGTGAAAACTGGCTATACCATGATATTTTAACGGTTGTGCCGGGTTGAGTGAGGTTGGGGCCAGAACAATTGGCCCAATTTCGATTCTAAATGTCAAAAACAAGCCCCTTCCTTCTTCTTTGTTTCTATTTCAAAATTAGCCACTCATTTAGACACCCAAATTAATACTTTGCACAACTAAACCACTTAATCTATTTCATCCAATAATTAACTTGTTATCAAACTATAATTTAATTGAATTACTAACCAAAAATGCAAAAAAAAAAAACTAATATATTTTTTGTGATTTTTATGTTTAAATAATGCATTTAAAAATATAATTAAGTCTTAACAATGCAATTAAAATCTTAGAATGCAATGAAAATATTTTTTGACGTTTTATAATTTAAAGTATCCCTGATAATTCTAAAATGCAACAAAATACAACAAAAATGCAACTAAAAAAATAAAGAAAAATAATTCCCCTAAATATTCTATAACAATTACGAACAATTAAAAAAGTGCTCTTAGAATCTTTTAGGAGTAATTTTATGGAGGCAAAATTACGTGCTCACACCTTATTTAAATCCTTATAATCCACACACATTCTAAATTTATTATTCTTTTTAGGAACAACCACCACGTTAGCTAACCAATTGGGATAATTTACCTCTCGAATTGAACCTATATTTAGTAACCAGGTTACCTCTTCTTTAACAAACATGTTTCTGACCTCTGCTATCAGTTGTTTCTTCTACCTTACTGGAGGGAAGTTAGGGTCCAAACTTAGCTTTTAAAAGAGACCATGCAAAACAATCGGTGTTAGCTTTAAGAAAATCAATAATTTTAAGTCTTAGTTAGGGGCTCAACCTCCTTCCCAAGTGGAACTTTCTTTCTAAGAACTCCGTGAACAAGGCCACTTGTTCGATCTCCTTTGCGTCCGATTTGGTTGCATCCGTTTCCTCCGGTACCTGAAAAGACCTCGGTACCTCATAGAAATGTGATGACTCCTCTTCTCCATTATCTTCAATCGGAATGGATGAGGGCACTGATTACTATAGTTGTTATTTGCTTGTTACTTTTGCCTTACTACTGGACAAGGTAACTACATTCATTTCTCTTAGAGCTGCTTGATCTCCTTTAATCTGTTTGACCCCTTTCCAGAGTGAGCAACTTCAGCATCTGATGGTAAGTTGATTGCACAGCCCTCATTTCATGAATCTGTGGCCTTCCAAGGATTATGTTGTATCCCATGTCGCCATCTACCACTTCGACCAGAGTGGTCTTTATTACGCCTTCAGCATACGTGGGCAGTAAAATCTCTCCTCAGATCGTTACACTTGTTAGGTTGAACCGGGCCAGAAGCTTTGTTGTCGAAACTATATTTCTAGTTAACTTTGCTTGTTCCAAAACTCTCCATTGAATGATATTGGCTGAACTATATGGATCAACCAACACACGTTTAATTTTAAAATCTAAGACATTAAATGATATTACTATACGTTGTGTGGTAAGAGAAGGCCATCATCATCCTCTTCTGTGAAGGTGATTTCATCATCTTTTGTTGCTTCTCGGATCCTCTTGCCATGAGTTACCATATATTTGTCTTCTTTGTTGCTGAAAATGTCATCCCATTTACTTTGTCACCACCAAAGATCATCTTTATCATTAGGCGAGGTGACCCTGCAGCCGGTATAGCTGGTTCCATAGCATCTCGATTCCTACCATAGTTACTTTTGGCCCGATCACAGAGAAATTCTCTAAGATGACCATTCTTCAATAATGTTGCAACCTCTTCAAAAAGGTGCCGACAGTCCCCAGACCTATGGTCATGCGTCTCATAGAATTCACACCATAGGTTAGGACCGCTTTGACTAGGATCCGATCGATTTGGTTTCGGGAATCTATCCTCCTTAATGTTTCTCATAGCCGAAGCTAATTCCACTAAGCTGATGTTAAAGTTGTAGCCGGATAACCGGGGGTATGTTGAATCTCGGTACCCTGATGGTTCCTTCTCCTATAAAGCTCCACTATTCCGACCACGATCCGCTCTTCTATCGGCAACAAACTTGTCTGATGACTTAAAGCCTTTATTTCCACGTCCATCAACCCTTTCGTAAGGCTGAAAGAGACTCCTAGAATACCTCCTATCTATATCAAAATCAGTTTTGAACTTTTCCTGATTTCGATCATGATTACATCCTTTTGAAGACACCAAAGAGATCAGTTGATCATCTTCTATTCTAAATCTTTTCAGAATTACTCCCGGAGCCGCACTTGGTTTGAACGGAAACTGTGTCTACTTCTTCAAGTGTAGACCCTTTAACGCCGGCGACGTTCCCAAGTTCTGATCCATTCGAGCATGAAATTCCTTAGCATTTTGGTGCATTCATTCATTCATTTCCCTTATGAATCTCATGATCTCGATTTTGAAAAGATCATTAGCATTGTTGTTGTTCCCAGATCCACTACCTACATCACCTACCTCATTTTTATTAAAACCAAACTCCTCCCACGGAGCGACATTACCGGTCCTTTGAAATGTTTGATTTGCAGGTACATTGGGAGGAACCCTTACGTCTCCATTGGAGTTACTGGAAGCAACCGAAAAGGCATGTTTCAATTTTTTCATCACCCGGTCTTGCCTTGAGAGATACTTCATAATTTCCCTTTGTTGCTCCCTCAAAATATTAACCATTTCAACAACATATTCATCATCCATATCATCGGGTGTTGGACTTCTCACATGCCAAGGATTTTGTTCTTCGCGAACTGGAGTTGTTTCATCTCCTTCGTTGCGAGTTTAACTAGTTGAATCACCATGCTGGAACACATCCTCAAGCTCATTGTGTATTCCAATGTTGTAAGAATTGTTCATATTGTTAACTGTCATATCTGATTTTTCACTTACTAAAGAAAAGAATCAAACTGCACTAGCAGATGAATGGGTCAAAGTCATTATAAAATTGTCTATGCCCCATGATGGGTGCCAAATTATTTACCCGTAAAATAATGCAGTTAAATTTGTAACGTGGTTTATAAACACGTGAATTTGATCCAGTAATATGAAATAAGTAAGAACAAAAATAAGATTATTAAAATAACTTGAAGAAAATACAAGCCTGGCTGTGTGATGATAGGATATAATTGCATATTTTAGTCGCTTATTACACTCAAATTTACTGCACTTTAATTGAGTTTGCGCTTTAATCGCTAGTGTTTTGCACTAATTGTGTGTTTTATGCCTTGTAGGTGTGATTCCGAGCTATATAGATGTTATGGAATGAATTTAAGTGATTTTAAGCTTTGAAGTCTGAGTAAAAGCTCAAGGAATTAAGCCGGGATCGTGTTCGCGGGTCAAATTTGATAATTAAGTACGAACGAAGACTTGAGGAGGCATATTGCGTACTGTCTAGTAAAATAGACATAACTTTTTGTTCAGAATGTTATTTGGCCTCCACAATATATAGTTGGAAAGATAATTCAAAGGGTTACAACTTTCATGTTTTACGTTTTTCCAAATTCCAAACGGAGCAGGGTGAAAAACGCGATTGAAATCGCGACTGCGGAACTAACCGTGGCAGAAATCAGAGAGCTTGTCTGGCCGCGGTCCTACCGCATTTTTACCACGGCCGCGCCCCTCCAGGCGTCAAAAAGAAGTCCTATTTTGCCCGGGACAAGTTTATTTCGGCCCTACACTATTCCAACTTGTATAAAAGGGGTCCTAAACCTATTTTGAAGAAGAGGGGAAATATTTTGGACACAAAATTAGACCTAAGGAGGCGGAGAGACACTACTTTAGGGTTAGACAACACCCTTGGAGGCAAGAACACATTGGGAGCAAGGCGGAGAATTCTTCTACGAGTTTTTTTCTTCCTCTTCCTATTTTTCATTGTTGGTTATGACTTTTAGTATTGTAGTTTTACATACTATTATGAATAGCTAATTTGTTATCTAGAGTTTTGATAGAACCTTTTGTAGGATAAATTCTTGTTATGTTTTTATATTATTGAGCCATAGCCTTTTCTCTATTTGTTCAACTACATTTATATTGTGGTTGATTGAAGAGCTCTCAATTAGCTGTGCCTATTTAGTATGCATAACTCGGGAGAGAGTGCATATTTAGGTAATTGTTGAACAACACCACTCCCAGAGTATATGAGGGATCAATAACCGAGGGTTTAAAGGCAGGATTAGGGATAACGAAGCCTTGGGTGCGATCTGAAGTGAGCTGTATTAAAAGGCAGCTAGCGTAGCTTGGGAGAGTGCGTCTAGTAAATTGTCGTAATTACTCGGGAGAGATTTACGGTAATAAGAGTGCTCATGATCGGTAGAGTATACTTAGGCGAAATTATAGAAGACATAGCGGGAAGGATTCCGACAATAGGGGAAATCATAACTCTAGACCTCCTTAATCTTTTCTCTAACCCTC